AGCGTGATAAAATAGATATAGAGGTAGTGTGTTAGACAATAATACTTGAGATATCAATCAGCTTTTAAACTCAATAATTTATTTTATTGTTTTATTTGGAGAGCGATATAAATGAGTAAACTAAACTTTTTAGAAAACTAATGTAAGTTTGAAGTAGAAAATTATTAATTAAATAAATTTCGCAATAAAAGAAATTTTGTTTTTTAGAATTAATGTTCCTAAATTACTAATGATTTCTAATAGACTGCCATGCATAAAGTAGTTTATGTAAGCATTTGAACATTTATATAAATTTTTTACAAATACATTATGTAAGCATTTTAAAAAATTTTATTAGTACATTGCTAATGAGATTGAACTATTGTGTTAAATTTTGTAAGAAATATGAATATAGATAAAACCTAAATTCATTAAATATTTAGTGCAACTATTTCGTAGAGATTATAGAAATATTTAAACTGTCAATTATATTAAATATTTATATTAAATATATTAAATATTGTATTAAATATTTAATAATAGTATTTTTAATACTTGATTTATCATATCTATTCATGATGTGTATATATTTTTATTTTAAATTGTAATATCATTTTTGTATAAATATACTAATTGTTATAAATATACTACATTACTAATTTGTATAAATATACTAATTGTTAATATCATTTTTGTATAAATATACTATAATTTTACTGAATAATTGTCTTGGAAAACAATCTATTTATAAAGTTAATTTTTATCCAAATAGTTGAAATTGCAGTTTGAGAAAATAATGATAGTGACGGTTATATAGTAAAGCACTTGTATTTTTCTTGTACAGATCTCATTTGAAATTATAATTTTTTTACTAGTTTCTGTGACATTGTTTACTTTTATCACATTTTATGTGAATGTTTTGGAGCATGTAGATGTTTTTATTACAATCTTTTAGAATATTAAATGAAATTTTGTTAGATATATATTTTATAATTCAAAAATTTAATTAAATATTATTATTTATAAAATTTTTGCTACATTTTAGTACTAATATATTAAAATATTTTTCTTATATACGTATTAAAATAATAAGTTTTTTTATTATTGGCTATTTTTACATCGTAAGTTAATTGATTATATTACGTTTTGTTATACTTGCAAATACGTGAATGCGTTGCAAATGATGATTGTATAACTTCGATGATTGTATAACTTCGAATTGCTATTAACAAAAATGTATATATTATTCAAAGTATGTGACGTAAAATAGAAAATGGTTAGGGATGAGAATGTAACTTTAAACTTTATTTAATACATATGTTTATTACATTAATTTTACCTATATTTAAGAATTTCATTTTATTTATTTTAAGAGTAATTTTTATTTTTTGTGAATTTTTTATATTTTTTGCTAGAAAAATTTTGTTGATTTATGATAAAATTAAACGGTAATTATTTTAATTAATTCTTTTTGTTGGACTCTGGAATGCAGTCAAGTAATTTTTTTTTACAACCATCCAATTTGAATTCTCTAGTTTCAACTTTCAAGATTAAATATTCTTTTGCGTATATTTAGAAATGTATACTATAATTTATTTTATAAATATTTTTCTTAAGCATTGAGAATAAAAAGCCATTCAAAATAAAAATAAAATTTTATAATAATGTTTATATGTTTATATGTTTATATGTTTTAAGTCATTTTTTTGCCATTAGTACATACTTTGTATTTATCTTCAGGAACTATTAAAAAATGTCAGCAAAAGCAATTCGTGAAGCAACTGGAAAAGATCTTGTTAATCGCAAACTTCCTTCTGGTACAAATGCAGTAAAATGTCGGTTTGTGAGCATCACAGAAAACACAAATTGGGCAGATATTGTGAATGAACACCCATGGGTTCAAACTGAAAAATTGGTGGTAAAACCAGATCAATTGATTAAACGGCGAGGAAAGCTTGGCTTAATTAAAGTGAATGTTGATTTGATTATGGCAAAACAGTGGGTTGCAGAAAGAATGAACAAAAATCAGCAAGTAGGGAAAACAACTGGAAAATTGAGATCGTTTATCATTGAGCCTTTTATTCCTCATAAACAAGTAAACATTCGTTATTCTTAGAAAAGAAATATAATTAAAGAACTAGCTAATTGGATTTTCATTTAGGAAGAGGAAGCCTATGTTTGTATCTATTCTCATAGAAAAGCAGATACTATTTTATTCCATCATGAAGGTGGTGTTGATGTCGGAGATGTTGATGCAAAGGCTTTGAAGTTAGAAGTACCTGTTGGAGAAGAGGGACCGGACCTGTCTACCATAATCAAGAAATTGTTAATACACGTAAAAGATAACAGAAAGGAGTAAGAATGTATCTAAATACATTATCTTCTCATTTTGCATACACTTCTTAGTAATAAATGTTGGTATTTTCTTTTTCAGAATGATTGGAAAATTTGTAGAATCTCTATATAAGCTTTATGTTAACTTATATTTCACTTACTTGGAGATAAATCCATTGGTTGTAACAGAAAATGGAATTTATATACTTGATCTTGCTGCAAAGTTGGACACGACTGCGGACTTCATCTGTAGACCTGATTGGGGAGAGATTGATTATCCACCGCCATTTGGAAGAGATGCTTATCCAGAGGAGGCCTATATTGCCGATTTAGATTCTAAATCTGGAGCTAGTTTGAAATTGACTATTCTCAATCCAGCTGGTCGGATATGGACAATGGTCGCTGGCGGTGGTTAGTAGAAGTGCACAGCAATGTTATTTACATAATTAATTGAGTTCATTTTAATAAAATTGTGAATCGTTTGTCTTACTTCAACAAAAATTTATCGGTTTTGGTTACAGTTTTCATTTTTCAGTTATATTTCTTTCAGGTGCATCTGTGATATATTCGGACACCATTTGCGATTTGGGAGCTGCAAATGAATTAGCTAATTATGGTGAATATTCTGGCGCACCTAGCGAACAGCAAACTTACGAGTATGCAAAAACCATTTTAAGCTTGATGACGAAAGAAAAACGACAAGAGGGAAAAGTATTGATCATTGGTGGTGGTATTGCTAACTTTACAAATGTAGCTGCCACTTTCAAAGGTATTGTAAAGGCATTACAGGAATATCAACCTAAACTCGTGGATCACAATATAAAAATATTTGTAAGACGAGCGGGGCCTAATTATCAAGAAGGTTTAAGGTATAAGTATATTTAAGTATATTTTTAAATAATTGATTTTAATTATTATATTTCAAAAATTAATATTTATCATATCATGTTTAATTTCAAAAATTAATTTGGAATTTTAGAATTATACGTGAAGTTGGTAAAAGACTTGGTATTCCTGTTTACGTATTCGGCCCAGAAACTCATATGACAGCTATATGTGCAATGGCCTTAGGCAAGAAACCAATTCCGGACCCTGAAGCTCAGGAATTTTCGACTGCAAACTTTTTATTACCCTCGGGACAAGATGTGGGTCCTTCAGTTTCTTCTGCGACTGCTTCTTCTTCGCCTACCAAACAATCCAAACTAAAAACAAGCGATTCTCTTGACGGAGAAAGATTACACAAACAGCTTTTCAGTAGTAAAACCAGAGCCATCATTTGGGGAATGCAAACTAGAGCTGTTCAAAGTATGTTAGACTTTGATTTTGTTTGTCGTAGATCTGAACCATCCGTAGCTGCTATTGTATATCCTTTTACGGGAGATCATAAACAAAAGTTTTACTGGGGTCATAAGGAGGTAAAATTCGAAAAATTTTTGTTTTATTCGACAAAAATTTGTTGAAAGTATAACACAGTTTCTTTTTTAATGATAGGTACTTATTCCTGTCTATAAACAAATGAGAGATGCTATGACTAAACACACAGATGCAGACGTTATGGTTACATTTGCTTCTTTGAGATCTGCATACGAAAGTGCAGTGGAAACCATGCAATTTTCTCAAATCCGGACAATTGCTATTATTGCCGAGGGAATACCCGAAAATATGACGAGAAAATTAATTTTAATGGCACAACAAAAGGGCGTTACAATCATTGGTCCAGCTACTGTTGGAGGACTTAAACCTGGCTGTTTTAAAATTGGTAATACTGGTGGGATGATGGATAATATTCTTCATAGTAAACTTTACAGACCTGGCAGGTACTTCCGTCGTACATTGTAAAATGTTTTTTCTTACATCTTCTTTCATGCTAAGGAATTATTATTTTTAGCGTTGCATATGTTTCTCGTTCTGGAGGTATGTCTAACGAATTAAATAATATAATTTCTAAAGCTTCCAACGGAGTGTTGGAAGGTGTTGCAATTGGTGGAGATCGTTATCCAGGCACAACATTTATGGATCACATTATGCGTTATCAAGAAAATCCGGAAGTAAAGCTTATAGTACTCCTTGGTGAAGTCGGTGGTGTGGAAGAGTACGAAGTATGTCAGTCGTTGAAAACGAAGAAAATTACGAAGCCATTGATTGCTTGGTGCATTGGTACTTGTGCCAGTATGTTCAATTCTGAAGTACAATTTGGTCATGCTGGATCTATTGCTCATAGCAATTTAGAAACAGCTTTTGCAAAGAACGCTGCATTAAAAGAAGCTGGTGCTTTTGTTCCTGACAGTTTTGATAATTTAGGCGATTTAATGCAAACTGTCTATAACAATCTTGTGAAAAAAGGAGCAATAGTGCCTGCACCGGAAGTTCCACCTCCCACTGTTCCTATGGACTACAGCTGGGCTAGAGTATATATAATTATCTTATAATTATTATTAAATTTAATATCTTACATATTATTAAATTACATTACATCATACGCATGCATGAGCATTTAATGCAATCTAATTTTTTTTTAGGAACTTGGTCTGATACGAAAACCAGCATCATTCATGACATCAATATGCGACGAACGTGGTCAAGAATTATTATATGCTGGAATGCCTGTAACAGAAGTTCTTAAACAGAATGTAGGAATTGGAGGAGTAGTTTCATTATTATGGTTCCAACGGTGCTTAGCCCCGATGTACTGCAAATTCCTTGAAATGTCTTTAATGTTAACGGCTGATCATGGACCTGCCGTATCAGGAGCACATAATACTATTGTTTGTGCAAGAGCTGGTAAAGATTTAGTTAGCTCTCTAGTATCTGGTCTCCTGACTATCGTAAGTAAAATAAAGAAGTTTTATGTTACGTTATTCATTTTTTTCATGTAAGAAATAATATTAATATCTTTCAAAATTTTTAATTGTAGGGTGATCGTTTTGGTGGAGCATTAGATGGCGCAGCTCGTATGTTCTCTGAAGCATATGATGCTGGATTACATCCACAAGAATTTGTAAATAATACACGTAAGAAGGGTAAACTTATAATGGGTATTGGTCATCGTATAAAGTCTATAAATAATCCAGACATGCGAGTGAAACTCATTAAAGAATATGTAAAAGAGCACTTTCCTGCCAGACCATTGGTAGAATATGCACTAGAAGTTGAAAAAATAACTACGAGTAAGAAACCTAATTTAATTTTGAACGTGGATGGTATAATTGCCTGTGCTTTCGTTGATATGTTGAGAAACAGTGGAAGCTTTACAAGAGAAGAAGCACAAGAATATATTGAAATTGGTGCTATAAATAGTTTATTTATTCTTGGTAGAAGTATAGGTTTTATCGGTAAGTGTTCTTCGCTTAATACAATGATCTATACGAACAATTATTTTAAGTTTATTACTTTATTACTGTAGGTCATTATATGGATCAAAAGAGATTGAAACAAGGTCTATACCGACATCCTTGGGATGATATTTCTTATGTATTGCCAGAACAATATAATTGAATTTATCTTCCATTTACATTGTTTATCGCGAAAGCATAATAAATGTTATGTCTTTATTTTAAAAAAATTTAAATAGTCCGAATGGTTACATCATATGTGCTTTACTCATAGGTGTGAGGAATTAGAAAAAATATCACATATGTTCGATTTGATATTAAATGTGTAATATCAACATAAAGTTATCATATGATAAATTAGTTTTATTTATCGCTTGTCGAAGTTATATTCGATAGAAATGCGATTGTAACATTAAACTGGTAGCAACTATCATTTAAATATAAATACATGAGACAGTAAAAATTAATCTACAAATAAACATTCCATAAAGCATTTGTATGTAATGTGGTCAGAAAGCGAGACATAAATTAAAAACATTTTGTAATTACTAATTAATGTGCAATAATATGTATAGTTATAATTCAAGGAAGACAGCACACAATATATAATTTTTTCTGATTTATGAAAAATATCAATATTTTATTTTGAAAATGTTATGTATTCATATACATGAATATGTGTATCATTACTATATGTGTATATAATATATATGTATGTATGTATATATATATATATATATA